GACCCTACAGTAATCCAGCGCCTACAGTGACTGGTTTCCACAGTAACCTCTGGTCCCCATGGCTCTGGGGTCTCCGCGGTGACTCACTCGTGATGCGGACGGCGCGGTCATTGCGGTAATCCTCCAGGTCAGGCTCGTCGATGTCATCCAGGAAGTTGTACTCGGGGTCGTCCTCGTCGTCCCCTTCCTCTGCAGACAGGAAGAGGGCAGAATGTCAGCACACCGCGACACCAATCCAAACGGGCTGGGGATCCCAGCGGACAGAAGGCCAGCCCCTCTCCATCCGGAAGAGCCAATTAAGCCCGAGAAACTGCGATCGTGGGGGAGAGCACACAGGCTCCACACAAACTGTTTCTGGCTGGAAGCCACACGGCGCACAACGCTCTCACACACACCCTCAGCAAACACACAGCCCAGAGCTTGTTAACCACAGCTATTGGCTGCTGACATTTGCACAGCGCCATCAACGCGCACACGAGCAGCGAGCAGGAAAAACAAGGGCTGCAGAAAGGGATTTACAGAGGCTCTGGATTACAACACACAGAGACACCCGCGTGCGTGTGTGTCGTACCACACGGAGAAGCGTATGTGTAACTGCACACAGAGAGAGGTAGAGATGTAGAAAGAGTTCAATCATAGGGCTCAGTTCTCAGGAGAAAGAGAGTGGCAGAGATAGGGAGGTGGGCTGTTTGTCAGGCTGACAGATGGTCTATTTTTAACCCATTTGCAGGGCCCATGGTATCAGTGTGGCGTCTGGGCGGCCAGTGTGTGTTTATCTCCGTGAGAACAGACATCAGCAAACACACACACACACACACAGACACACACACACACACACACACCCCCATCAGCCTGCAGGCACTCTACCTGTTTAATGCTTTCTCTATGTTCAGAGAGACAGCAAAAAAAGATACAGAAGGAGAGGGGCCAATTGAGTACAGGGTCAGTAGGGTACAGGGTCAGGATTCAGTAGGGTCTGCAGTGTACATGGTCAGTAAGACACAGGGGCAGTTGGCTCAGTCAGCCACGGGGACTGATTCCCTAGACTCTCACCATCATTCTCCACCTCTGATGTCATCAGCCCGCGCAGCCAGCCCTGCCACTCGTTGTCCTCCTGCCCGCCCATCTCGTACATGTCCGGCGTGATGTCCGGCGCCCGCAGCTCGGCTTCCAGAAGCCCCAGGGGCACGTCCTTCAGGGGGCGCTTGGAACGGGTGCGGCACGCCACCAGGTTGTCACCCAGACTCTGACAGGCCAGGAAAGAGAATCAGGCACAGAGCAGAAGCAGGCTGCCGGGAGGCGCTCGGGGAGACAGCAGCAGGGAGAGAGAGAAACACGCTTCCAGACTCCCACCACTCCTCGTGCAAAGAAGCGCCTTTTGACGTCTGGTGACGGAGGAAGGACGGGCCAGGAGGTACCTGGTAGGAGTCCATGCAGACGGGGCTCTGCTCCAGCTCCTCCTCCACGGCGTGAAGTTTCTCCATGAAGCTGAAGTCTGGCTGCTGGGGCCAGCTGGGGCCGCCGGGGGCCTTCGGAGGCGGTGGGGGCCCCATGGGGACCACCTCCACCCTCAGGTGTCTCTGCTGGTTGGGCCCTGGGGGGGACAGCCCCTGGGACAGAGCAGAGATTCAGGACGAGAGAAGAGACACAAGGGAAGCAGAGGGGCAGTGTCAGAGAACAGTAAAGGAATTAAAGATAGATGAGGGGTCAGCACCTGTGCCGGGTGTATTCCCCATCTCCGGAGTGTCTCAGGTGTGTCACCTGTGCTGGGTGTAT